GCAGTGCCAGCTGTTGGGGGTGCAGAGCCAGCTGTTGGGGGTGCAAAGCCAGCTATTGGGGGTGCAGAGCCAGCTGGCACAGAGCTACAGGGTGCAGTGCTGGTGGGGACAGGGGCTGTGGGGTGCTGCACAAGCACCCCAGCCAGGCACAGGGTTATGGGGTGCGGTCTGACTTGCAAACGGGGCTCTGGGGGCAATGCCAGCCAGGATGGGATTATAGGGTGCAGTCCCGGCTGGGGTGGGGTGCAGCACCAGCCAAGAAGGCAAGATGGGGTGCCACAGAGCTACAGGGTGCAGTGCTGGTGGGGACAGGGGCTGTGGGGTGCTGCACAAGCACCCCAGCCAGGCACAGGGTTATGGGGTGCGGTCTGACTTGCAAACGGGGCTCTGGGGGCAATGCCAGCCAGGATGGGATTATAGGGTGCAGTCCCGGCTGGGGTGGGGTGCAGCACCAGCCAAGAAGGCAAGATGGGGTGCAATTGTAGCCAGGGCAGGGGGCTATGGGGTGCAGTGCCAGTTGGGGCAGGGTCTTATGAGGTGCAGTGCCAGCAAGGGCAGATGTTTATGGGGTGCAGTGCTAGCATGCCAGGGGGCTGTGGGTGCAGTGCCCACCAGGCAGTGGCTGTGGGGACCCCTAGGAGGAGGCCCAGGAGGGGGGCACATGCAGACAGGAGATGTGTGGTGTCACCACACCAAGACGTCCATGCAGCACCGCCCTGCAAGGGGGAGAGCCCCTGACACCCACCACCCAGCGGGCTCTGCACCCAAGGGTGCCGGCTCAGCACACATAGCGCTCATCCTTCAAACCCCCCAGGAGAGGTATTTGAAGACCCCACAGCCTGTCCCACAGCAAGGACCAGCAGCCACCAGCCTTGTGTTACCTGAGCCCGGGGAGGGAGGGCACACAGGACACCCCCAGAGCAGGTCTGGGGCAGCACAGCACAGCCCGGTCCCGCCTGAGTCCACCCTCCCCTGCAGCAAAACACCTGTCTCCTTTCCAGCCTGTCCCGTTCCCGGCCACTGCAGCTTCCTCTGTTCCTGTGCCAGCACCTGGCACAGAGGGGTTCACCGTGCCGAGCCGGGCTGCTGATGGGGACATGTGGGAGCTTCATGCTGGCTATGGGCTGCCAAAGGGGGTGCTGGTCACAGCCTGCCAGGTGGCTGGATGTGCCCCTGGAGATACTGCAGGTTTGGGGTCCTTTGCCCAGGTGAGGCCTGGAAGGGGAGAAAGTTTCCTCGGGAACACACTGGGGTTACAGTCTGGGGCTGGCAACCTGCAGGTTGGCCCACAGCTCCCTGGTCCCAGCACTCACCCCCCAAATCCCCCCGCACCTGCCCCTGCAGACCCCAACAACCCCAGTGCCCCTCAGCTCGAACCCCCTTTGCCCCAGCCCCTCCATCGTCCCCAGTCCCTGCCAGGGGCATTGCCTGCAGCCGGCGTGGCTGGGGGGCACATC